CTCTCTGGTTAAAGAAAACTCTCCTCGTTCATTCGCAATCTTCTCGTTGAAAGTTGAAAACAACGATTTGGTTTGTTCTTTTATTCCACAACAAATGATTTACAGCCAGGTAAGTCTTCCATTTTCATTTTCCTCTGTTTTTTGTTGGATTCTGAATAGTCCAATTTGTTACTCAATACTTTCTTGACTTTGTTCAGCTCTTCTCTCTCTGTCTTTCACTTAAAGTAAGATCAAAACATTCCAATTCTCATATTTCTCTTAACAAAATCTACAAGATTAATTTTCTAATTATAGTTTCTCAAGTTTTAATTATGTCTCGAAATTCAATATATTTGTCATAACATTTATACATTTTATATCTCTAAATTCTAAGAATTTTGTATTGTTACATTTATTTTTAATCTTATTTTTAAGTATGTACAATCTTACGATTCTTGACCTGATACTACAATTCCGATTTTAAAAACCATGCATCCTGATAGTACTATTTAATGGCTAAAAACTCGGTAGATAAGGATTATGTCTTAACTTCGGTGTTGATTACTTTCAAACTTTTCTGCAAGTTGCTTATCTCAACTTCGTTTGGGTCTTGATATTTGTTTGTTGTTTGAATTAGCTCCTCTACCAGCTAGACATAAGAAATGTCTTCCGTCATGGGGATCTTCAGGAGGAAATGCAAGTGGATCAGCCAAACAACTCACATAATGTGTGCAGGTTGAGAAAGCAATTTATAGACTCAAACAGTCTCCTAGGGATTGACCTGATAAATTCAACCGGGGCAAGTGCTTATGGGTTGAAAAGACTTAAGCCTGATCATCCTACATCTTTTGGGCATAGTGAAAAGGGCACTAGTGCATAATGGCAAAGTAAGATTCATGTAGCCGACCCCAAAATGTTGGGACAAGACTTTGTGGAGTTAAGTGAAGTGAAAAAGAGCACTAGTATTCCTTTTGTTTACATAGATCATATGGTAATTACTATTCAGGATGTTGAGGGCATATGTTTTGTGAAACTCTACTTCATTGAACATTTTTAGATGAAAGATTTGGGGAAGCTACTTTACTTATTGAGTGTCGAAATAGCAGGCCCATGGATGGAATATCACTGTAATAAAGGCAATATGCCCATGATGTTTTTGATGTGACTGGTTCGATGGAGACCAAACTCGTTGATACTATAATGGATCCAAATACCAAGCTCAGTAGAGATGAATGATAACATTTAGATGAGCCAGGGAGATATTAAAGATTTTTGGGCAGGTGATCATCTAGACCAAACATCTTTGTCAACTATCTGCATGTTGTTGGAGGCAATCTTGTTACATGGAAGAGAAAGAAACAAAAGGTGGTAGCTAGGTCTAGTGCTGAGGCCGAGTACAAAGCCATGGCTCACACAGCTTTGATGGTATGAGTGAGACCAGTGTTCCAACAAGTAGGTGTCTCTAGTAGTAAGCCTACGATGATGTACAGTCCAATGCCAAGACAGTTTTTCCATGCAGCGTCCCAATGCAGTACACTAAGATAGGCACTAAATAGAAAAGATTATAAAGGACCTTACCGTCATGTAGCTGTACTGAGAAGGAATACCAAACTCCAAACCAGGTTCACTTGGCATACGTTGGATGCGTAACCCTATTAAACCCAGTTCTTGCATGACCTGCATCCAAATAGTCCCATCACAATTCACGGCCTCTATGTTATGCTTGAAATTAACACTAAAGTACTGTAAAAAGAATAAAAAAACACTTAAAACATACTGGATGAACACAAGAAGGAATAAGGCCTAGATCTTCCCCACAAGCCAGCATATCTGATGAGTTTAAGAGGACAGGCAGAGTCTTCAAAGCATTTTGACGCCAAAGAACTTCTTGCCGATGGAAATAGTAATCATAGTATAGTCTTTTCAAAACACTTTTGCTGTATCATTGAAAACCATGAAAGATGTTACATTGGTAGCAAACATGTTATAGATCATGAAATGTAGAGATATCAAAAAGAGAAATGAAAGAAAGAAATCAAGCATAGATATTTGAGGTCATGCTACCAAGTTTTTCAATTTCAGTATCAGATGATGTCACCACTAATGACTTCCCCATGCAAGGTATATATCACGTACCTGTGCTCATCCAAATCCTTGAAGCTAGAAGTATCTTCGAGATTGAAACGAGGGAAAAATTTTCTTGCATCCTCTGGATCCCTGATGAGGACTATATTCTGCAACAATAATTTAAAGGATCAAAATTTAGAACTATGGCACCTGAAACTTGTATCAACACTGCGGCAAGAACTTCGACAAGTTTATAAAATGAGGGATCAAAGTTTACATTTAATCTTTCAAACTAACCTGCAGGAGATCAAAGAGATCGCGCCTTATTCTGTCTTCGCTGTCCAACAGCAAGGACCTTTCTAGACATGACTTGAGCTTGGATGCAATTTTTTCTCAGTTCCACAGTCCTCCTTGAACTACAATAAGAGAAGGGAAAAATAATGAATCAAAAACATGATCCTCCAAAGAGTGCTTTATAGAAGAAGATTAAAACTATCACATTAAAACGCACAGCAGCTCTGTTGAAGCACATATATGTCCAAAATGAAAAGTCAGCATCTCCAATTGGGGTAAGAGGAAATATCGTTTTGATGGACACATAAGGATGAACATCAAACTCATCCCTACGACCTTAAAAATTGTTTTATTTTGGTAAATAAATATTTCTTACCATTTGCATAATTACTACGTTGATTTGAAACGTCAAATGTAGAAGGTAACATAACCAGGTGACAGAAGTTGAGCAAGTATCATAAGTTGGCCAGGTATACAGTAAAAAAGAGAGACAACAAGAGAGAGAGAGAGATGCTAAGAGCTAGAGAAAATATGAAGCCAGAAATCATTCAATGTGGACAACAAAATAGCCAGCAAGACCGATCTATAATTTGGGCCCAATTTGTGCACCTCTTTAACTGATGACTGAAAGAAAAAAGGGGAGAATGGAGGATATGCCTTCTTCAAAAATGTAATCCCAATAATGGAAAACAGTCCGTACAGGAGTAAATTTCTCAGGTTGCTTTCACTCATCTGCTAAGGAAAGATCTCTCCATATCATTGCGTTCAAAGGCCAAGCAAATACTAACTTTATGTGCATTTTCAGTTTTGCATTATTTTCGTGTCAAAACATCTTGGCAGAAATTAAATGAATGGGGAAAAATAAACAATAAACAGCATAACAAATTCGGCATTTTTCGCATGATTGAATGCCCAAAAATAAATTTTAGTGCTTACATATAAAAATGTTCTAACATGAGAATCTTTTAGCTTGACTGTGTACCATGGTTGTGTAGTTTTTCTGAAATATCTGCTGGGTCCAGTTTCGCATCATGAAATTCTTAGGTCATTTAGTAAGGTGTAGAAATCAAAGAAGTAGCTGATCTATAGTTCCCAAAACTATAATACTCACACATTTAATGCTCCAAAATAAGCATCCATGGCAAAAATGCATGTAACACTCATTGAGATATGTTTAAATCCGTGCATGACACCATCAGAGTTTTAGGATTATAGCATGGTTTGCCATTTTGATCAAACTTCTGAAAAATGTACACCGTGGTGAGGAAAGACCTTATGAAAGTATAATAATAGCAAAGCTATGATGGTAGAGTTTAGATAGTCCCTATTTCCTCCCTCCTGCATACCTTACAGACTCTTTCACTAAAGTGCTTGCCCTGGTTTCGTATTATTCCTATACCTCTACTACATCAACTTTCTTCTTACATTTCTATGTTCACAATGCGCTGTTGCCAGTAACCAGGTTTTCAATAAATGTTCCCATAGATGTGGAAATACTATTACCGCAATGCAACATGTGGAACTGTCATAGGTTTCAACTTTCAACAACAAAGAAAGAGACAAAAAAAAAAAACAAAAGAAAACAAAAGCTCCTACCAGCTACCCTTCAAGAAGTGTCATACTAAAGAACAAAAACCATGATCATACATGCTATGCAACATTTGCAATTCAATAACACTGATGGTAGACTAAAAATTGGCTCATTGATGATCCCACCAATGATTAGTTGAGAGTTATTGTACATGTTCCATTAGTACTTTTAATAATTCATAACTTCCTAACCTGACCTGTTCATTTGATTATTACGAAATGTTACTTGAGCTCTTATTTTTGCAATTTTAGCAGCGGCTTATTTAGGTGAATGCATGGAAGGCCAGTATTGACTAGATCTCCATATGTACTATCTAGAAAAGGGCAAAAAAGTATCCGGCTTCCTATATTTTGTTAAAGTCAGTTTCGACCAATTTTAGAAGTTTCATACCGGAACTATGTTTATGAAATTAACATTTGGAGAAAAGGTGTGGAGAAAGTTCCACTCTTTTAAAATGGACCCCTGAACAACATTTTTTTGGGTCAGTGAAGCATCAACAGCATAGTTCATGAAGTGAAGCTTTACAAGCATAACCTACCCACTTTCGACTTTCCAACCTGATTCCAGATAATTACTTAACTTAGGCCAAACATTAAAAATTACAAAGTTCATAAAACTTCAACCAGAGAAGTCTCAGACTGATGGAAAATTGGGATCACCAATGCTACACAAAGTGGATTCAAATCCAACTACTTGAAATGACAAAGAATACTTTCAACCTTTGTATGCATAAATGCATTTACCTTAAGCAGTCCACCCAACATTGATTCGGCCTTAATTGACTCCTTTTCATCACTCGTTAAAATTGCTCCAATAAATTATGCAAAGATGCAGGAGACACTACTCATCTTCATGGATGATTTCTCCACTATTTTCAATGTGACTACTTAAAAAACCCACAACCCATTGCAAAAAAACATGTGTAGTATTGTCTATCGTATATCAAATTATCAACATATGAACAAGATATCACTTGTCAACCCAATGAAGGATATGTCATTCTCCAACTACACTTTATATCCAAATATTGCTGTGGATAAATCAATTTTTGAACAATTTTAGCTAGAAGCACATCCATGGAATAAAATGGGCATTTCAAACTCCACAAATTGGTCTGTGTAACACAGTAACACCGAGTAAGAAGTCAATTTGATGCAAGTAATCCAATAGGGTATTTTTGATCCAGACAAACTCGGCGCAATTAGTTCACCCCCGAGTAATTCAAAGGTGGCATAATTGATTTTGATCCAGCGAAGCTGATTCAGCTCGGAAAGGAAATCGGTAACTTTTGGGTATTAGGGTCCGATAAATGAAATTGGATATAATTGTAAAACTAAATTTAAAATATCTAAGATTTAATTATTGATTAAAAAGCAGAATTGGCTAAAAAAATAATGAAAGGTTCAGATTTGGGGTCCAATTTAAATTGGACAACCCCAAATTTTACTAAGGTGTAAACTGCACAATTAATTTGCCATGCAAAGTAATCATGGAAGGTGTAGTTTTGGACTATAAAAATGGAGCCCAGGCTGGTTGAAATGGTGCCTGAATCATGTGGAAAGAGGGAGAATTGAAGAGAGAAAAAAAAAGAAAAGGGGGAAGGTTCTGCCAAATTCAAGCTTGGTTCTGGATCTGAAGCAAGTGTGAGGTTTTGAGTGTCCATGAATTGATTTTATGGCTTCAATTTGGCTCAAAAGGGTTGAAATTGGCCAAGTTAGGAAACAGGCCTGAAAAACCTGAAGTTAGGAGAAAATTGAATTTTTGAGATTTTGTACATTGTTATTGGATTAATACATCATTTAACCCATGTAAATGATTACTAACACTTCTGTAAGCTTTGATTTCAGTGTGTGTGGAAGACTAATAATGAAATTAAAATCAAAGGTTTTGGGAAAATAGGAACCTTGGGAAACATTTTTAGGGTAAAAGAAGGACCAAAGCCCATGTTTTTGATCATGAGAAACTTAACTGGAGTATTTGATGTCATAAAATAGCACTGGAGTTGGTCCAATCTCAAATTTTCAGAGCTTGAATTTTCAGCCATGGAAGCTGAAAACCTCATGCTCAAAATTGAGGTTTTTGAGGCAAGCATGGATCTAATTGAGCCAGCTGAGGGATAGAGAATACATAAAACGAGTAATCTAGGGTTTGAATCACTGGACTTGGTGGAACTATAAGAGAGGAATCAAGAAAAACCCGAAAACCTTGAACCTTGCGTCAAAACAGACCCGTTAAAAGAAGATGATGAATAGTGCTATTTTGACCCTAGCCACCCACAACAGCGCGTGAGCCACATAATCAGGGTGTGATTTCGACAGAAATATTCCTCCTCCCAAGACGTTTCCAACAAGATCAAGTTTGACCTGTTTTGACCCCATTTAACATAGATCTAAATTTGGTCATTTTATGCAATTTTGGATCACTGCAGTTTTTAGTTATTTAATTTAGGGATTATTTTGGTTTCAAATGGGATCCAGTTATAATGACTCTGAAATATCTTGTTTGTTTTGTTTGACATCATCCAGTATGTCATTTAAACTTATTCAGTGGTAGGTTTTTCCTATTCTGTGCTGGTATCTTGGTGTGTTGTAAAGATAAAGAGACACATGTTGAACATCTAAAGACTGTTTTGCAACTTTTGAGGCAAAGCCAGTTGTATGCCAATGCTAAAAAGTGTAGACTTGTGGTGGACACTTAGAGTTCTTGGGGTTTCCTGCGCCAGCTAAGGGAGTGGAGACAGATGCCATAAAGATTCAGGCTACCTCAAAGACATTGACAAAAATCAGAAGTTTTCATGGTTTGGCTACATTTTATCGAAGATTTATCAAGAATTTCAGCACCATAATTGCTCTGATCACAGGTGTCTCAAAGGTGGAAGGTTAACTTGGAATCTAGAAGCTGAAGAAAGCTTTCAAATGACAAAGAAAATGATGATGCATGCACCAATATAAGCACTACCAATTTTTGATAAGCTCTTTGAAATGGATTGTAATGCATCAAAGATTAGAATTGAAGCTGTTTTAAACCAAGATGGGCGTCGACTACCATATTTTAGTGAAAAACTCAATGGAGCTTGACAAAATTACTCCACGTATGACCTTGAGTTTTATGCTATCATGCAGACCAGGCAGTTTTGTGACCTTACTTGATCCAAAGGGAGTTTATTTTGCATTCAAATCATGAAGCCTTGGGTGATCTCAACTCACAAAGAAGTTTAAGTAACAAACATGCAAAATAGGAGGCATTCCTACAAGTGATCAAGAAGCAGTACACGCATGGTTCAAAGTATCGGCCAATACCGATACGAGTTAACCGAGTCATATCCGTCTCGGCACCTTCGGAGACAATACCGTTATACGATACGTATAAACCCCGAGTTTCACACAACTCGGCTGAGTCGTCCGAGTTGTATTCGAGTCAATCCCAAGTCGCCAAAATATCATCACTGAATTGGTTGATACGATTCCACGACGCCGTGATATGACTTGAATTTGCCGTCTTGTTCAACATTTTCTTTTAAATCGTATCACCCAATTCCGTGCCGCGACGCCTCGACCGATGTGTCTCAGAGCTCTTCGAGTTGATGACCGATACTGCGAGCTTGAACCATGAGTACAAGGAAGATCCATATTTTCAAGAAATACTTGAAAAACATAAAGCGCGAAACAACACAGTATGAGTAGAATTTGTTGATAAAGATGGTTATTTGTTTTAGGGTGTCAAGTAATCCATTCTTGAAGGCTCCTTCAGAAAAAATTTTAATTGCCGAATTGCATGGACGAGGTCATTTTGATAGAGATAAGATGCAAAATACTATTTGCCAAGCATACGATGAGATGTATATCGACATGTTGATAGGTATTGTACATGTCAAAGTTCCAAAGGGCAACAACAAAGCAAGGCTTATATACTCCTTTATCAATTGCTATAGCTCCATGGGTTGATGTTAGCAAGAATTTTGTGCTTGGTTAACCGAGGACGGCAAGGAGAATTAATTTAATTTTTGTGGTTGTTGATCGATTCTCAAAGATGGCTCATTTTATTGCTTGTAAGAAGACGATGTTACAACTCATATGGCCAGTCTTTTCTTTCAGAAGTGGTTAGATTACATGGTGTGCCAAAGATTATTAAATCCAATTGGGATACAAAATTACTTAGCCATTATTGGAAGACTTTGAGGAAATTAATGTCAACTAAATTGCACTATAGTAGTGCATATCACCCCCAAACAGATGGCCAAATAGAAGTAGTAAATTGAAGCTTGGGAAATTTGTTGCGAAGTCGTGCAAAAGACAACATTAGGCAATGGGATTTGATCTTATCACAAGCTGAATTTGCTTATAACAGCACTATGAATAGGTCTACTAGAAAGAGTCATTTTCAGATAGTGCATGGGAGGAATTCAAATAAGGTTGTTGACCTTTTGAATGTATTAATTCAGCCCGCAAGCTAGTGATGATGCTATTGCTTATGTAGAAAATCTGAAGGAGATTCAAGAAGAGGTTCCAAAAAAGCTGGTGGAACTGAATCATCGAAGGCTCAAAGAGTACAAAGTTGGGAATTGGGTCATGATTTTCCTTCAAAAAGAAAGGTTTCCATTAGGTACTTATAACCATAGTTATCAAATCGTGTATCGGAAGGCGTATCGTAAGATACAAATATTGTATCGTATCGTGTATCGTATCGTGTATCGTAAGATACGATGCAATTTTAAATAAATAATAAAAAAATATATATACCTTTGAAAAAAAGTCATACACTCATAAAAAATATAGCAGTTCATTAATACTCCACCAACTATTCAAGTTATCAACATAATCCACTACTATTATAATGCAAAGTTCACAACCATAGTTCACTAATTCAAACTTTAAACACCAAAGAGACTTCTAATCCAAATTTCTAACATCCATTTTGAACTCAATCTTCAATTTCAATTGAAAATGCATCATCATCATCATCATTGTGATCGGATGCCAACAAGTCTTCACTTGTCGTTTTTTTTAAAAAAAATCAGAGCACAAAACGACGTCGTTTTTAAAAAAAAAAAAAAAATTGCACGTATCGTGCGTATCGTACCGATACGTATCGTATCGTAAAAACGTATCGTGTATCGGACGATACAACGCAAAAACGATACATAACTACGATCCGTATCGTTTTAGGGCTGTATCGTAACGTATCGTACGATACGTATCGCGTATCGTACGATACTAACAACTTTGCTTATAACAAGATCAATAGCAAAAAATTCCTGATAAAATCTTAGGTAAATTGGGTGAGAGTGTATATAAAGTTGAGCACCCTCATGGTTTAAGTGCAGGAAATCAAGACTAGTAAGGTTCCTACTTCCGATTCCTTATCAAATGGGTCAGGAAGCCAGGGTTTGAGAATTCATGGATAAGCGAAGCCGAATTTCTAAGCATTGATCCTAAGAATTGTCAAGGGGCAAAAAATGGCAACTCACACGGAGGCGAGTTCTTTCTAACCGGGGAAGAATGGCGCAAATGACATATATATGTGTGTGTGTGTGTGAATTTAGTGTGTACAAAAAACTAGTGAACGGCATTTTTTCATTTCAATTTTGTTCCAAGATTGGCCTAGCTGCACCTAAGTAAGGGCTATTTTGGGTATTTTTTCATTTCAATTTTCACATATAATAAAACATATCAACAAAAATTCATATGAATTTGAAGACACATGGGTGTTTTCTAAGTATTATCCATTATCAGACGTCCAAAGAGTTTAAATGAGTTGATTACTCTATAATCTTAGAAATAAATACTTCTCCGCAAACAATATAGTGAAATATTGGTTCTTATTTTTTTAATTAATCACGTTCACTTTGTAAATGTACCACAGTATAACGATAGAAAAAAAATTAAAATAAAAAATTGTTAATGCTATTTATTATTGTTAAAGAACCACTAAAAATTATATCTATCAATTCATTATATAATAATAAAAATATAAAGTATATATTAATAAAGGTATCATGGTGTACCTGTATCCTATTTTTTAGAGTTTTGTCACATCGCCGTATCCGTATCGTATCGTATCGTAGTCGTATCTAATATTCTTGTCCGCACTTCCTATCTTTCCATCAAATTCTAGTGGTTATTTCATGTTGGGAGATAGTATTTTTATGTTGTTTTGAGATTCTAAGCACTATAATATCTATAAAACTGCCCCGTTGTTGCACCTACTCACCAATTTGTTGACTCCAAAAATATTAGGACAAGGTTATTCAAACTCAGTTTTGGGAACATATGAATGAATGAATAGGAGAAATACCTATAGGAGAGAGAGCACTAGAGGAGACTTTAATGGTTATATAAGACAAGACTAGAGGGCATGAGATGGTTCATGGTGGACATGGACTAGGAGATAAAAATGATGTTGGGGAGTCTATTTTAGATTTTATAGTGGCATATAGCCTCATGATAGCAAACACCTATTTCAAAAAGAGACATGAATATTTAATAACCTTTAAGTGTGGATTAAATATAAGTCGACAAACACTTATCATGTAAGAATTGTAAGGTAATTCTAGCAGAGCATTTAATTACACAACATAGGATAATGGTATTAAACATATCTATTAAAACTTGTTCAACACCAAGAAAATATGTAAAAAACCCAAGACCTAGGTGGGGAAGATTAAAAGAAGAAAAGTTAGTTTTATTCAAGGATAAAATAATAAAAGTGATAACATGAAATTTAGAAAATGAGACTAATGTAATGTGGAATAAGACGGTAAAATGTATCAAAAGATATCAATAGAATAATAATAACTCATGCCTGAAGACACGAAAAAACATAAGATTCTAGTCCACTATACTAAATTTAAAACTAATTTATTTGCTTACATTATTTAAAATTAATTTCTACCTATTATTTTCTTAAAAATAGCGTCAAAATTTTCTCAAAATGCATAACTCGATAAAATGTTTTCAACATGTGTACACTATCGTATATAAATAATGTATGAAATAAAAGTTATGTTAAACTACAAATTAACTAAATATTAACATGTGATAGAATTATATGATGTGATTTTTTGGGGGGAAAAATGTATAGGGGATAAAGATTTAACTTGTTAGCTGATTGATTATATAAATATTTCTTTGATAATCAAAAAGTAATGGACCATTAGTAAGCAAAAAAAAAACTTGGTTGGGGAGTAATGATGTCCAAAATGTTGTAAAAACAAAAAAAAATCATGTGTAAAGATAGATATATTGATATGATTTATACAAAAGTGTAGTGTTTTAGTTAGAACAACCATAAGGAAAAGTAGTGAATTCTCAATCACGGTAGACCTATATTAGGGTTCGTTGTAAGATTGGGATAATATATATCTTGTCCAATCTATTTTTTGGTAAGGCCATTTATTTGATGGTATTGATATTGAGTTAGCTAAAATGCCTTCAATCTATTCCAATCTAACTTGTGGAGCATCAATATTTTGCATGACTAAGTAAATATGATCAGAAGTTATATAACCATTTTGTCTAATAAATATTTTTAAATAATATTGGATTCAAACAGGGAGGCTTTCATTGCATAAAGGTGTATTTTTGAACATATGAATGTGTTTATTATTGATGGTGTTATTTACCATTATTCATATGAATGTCAATTAGGCAAATGATGTGCGTCTTTCACAACTTGCCCATATTAAGGGTCGACGTGTCATTTTAAAAAATGTTGGGGGTCCCTTAGTTATTTGATCAAAAGTCGACGTATCCAGACATTTTTATCCAAATAAATAAGAAGAGATGGACACATTGTTTTCTTATTTGTGGGGACGCTGAAGTTGTACAATAGCAATATAATACATCCGGGTTGGATTATAATACCTAATCTCCTAGTGGTATTAAAATTTGATCAATGGTATAGATAAATGTTATTAAATTATATGTCAGATAATTATCAAATTAATTCAATACATAGTACAAAGTGGTTTTTCACATCCAAATATAACCAGATTAGAGTGTTTTAATTCAATATGGCTCTTAAATCCCCTATATAACTCTTGGTGTATATTGGGATCGATGTATACTTCTTAAGATTGAAAGGTAAATTTTATAAGACAGTCATTAGACCAACAACATTTTATGGTACAAATGTTGGACAATTAAGAAACAACAAGCTCAAAACAAAGGTGCTGCAGAAATGAGAATTTAAGATGGATGTGTTGCAAAACAAGAAATGAGAGAATTAGGAATGAGAGCATTAGTGAACCAAAAAAGTAGCACTAATAGGAGATAAATTAACAGAGACTTGACTTATGTGGTTTGGTCATACTTATCAGAGAGGAAGATTGATTTGAAACATATAGATGGTAATAGGAGGGGTAAAGATAGGTCGCAAATAACTTCGAACAAATTAATCAAAAAAGATATGATAGCTCAAAGTTTAACAGAAAATATGGTCCGTCATGAAGCACAATAGATAAACATGATTCAAGTAGCTGACCTCAAAAAATAAGGATAAAGCCTTTATTGAATTGAGTTGAGTTCAGTGGGTGATGTCCAACTTTTTTATTTTTAACAGAAAACCTAATTGAATTTTCATGCAAATCTATAACCTGAAATACTAGAACAGCTTTTTCTTTTACAGATAACTGAAAATACCAATAGATTGAAAGGAAATTTTACATGAAGCATTATCATTTAAATACTCTGAAATATTGCTCAATTGAGTTCACAGAGCATTTGGATGTTCAAAGTAAGCTATAAATCCAATAAATATCAATCCATGATTCAATGTCAAAAGGAAAAATATGGAACATCAAAAGTCTTCCTTTAAACAACAACTATCACCTCATAACGGTCTTTCTGATATTCATTCATGAAGTTAGAAGCTATGACATTCCAAGAAGCTCCAAATTTATCCTGAAATGCAAAATGGGGTGAATAACATCGATAACGAAGTAAAGAGTAAACAATACTTCAATAAAAGGAAAACCTAACTGGATCTGTCTAAAGATGCAATGATTTGAGAATAACCATTTTTTAGTCCACAAGGGAAACTGTTTAACCTTTAAAACTTCCTGCAGAATATATGGACGGCTCAAACGATCAAAGTCCCATATCCCCTCTCTTTCGAGCTCTTCCTACAACAAGAACAGTTATTGATCACATATTCACATGTCAAGGCAAAACAGAGGTTTCTTTGTATCTTCGATGACAATGATCTTACATTCCTTGTCTTAGAGAACAGGATATTTGAACAAATAATGCAGGTCTATACCTGACTTAGAGGGATAGATGGTCGGAATTTCCCAACAAGACCCGTCATTGCGTGATCTGGAAGCTCCCAGATTCTAAAGAAACCCAATATATGATCAATCCGATAAGCTGTGAAGTACTTGCCCATCTGTGCACAACACAGAGAGAAAATTACGCAAACATTTAGTCCTTGTTAAAAATTATAGCATATTGTTTAACGAAGAACATTAATGTTGAGGGGGAACAAGAAAAAAAGGTTGAAACTACTGTTCTAGGGAGGAAACCTGTGTTAAACGAGCACGCCACCAAGCATAATTGTCCTTGGACATTTCCTCCCAATTATAAGTAGGGAATCCCCAGTTCTGCCCATTTTTATCAAAATAGTCAGGAGGTGCACCGGTCGAGGTGTTCATGCGAAACAAATTTGGATAAACCCAAGTGTCCACACTGTTTCTGTCTACACCAATAGGGAGGTCTCCTTTCAACACCACTCCTTTCTTTCTTGCATATTCAGCCGCTTCCGACAACTGTCATTATCAATCAATATGACACCAGGTCTTTCTTTCCAATACAGGTTTATAATGCAAAAAATAATAGAGATAATGCTAAGTCAACGTACTTGTCTATGTAAATGGAACTGGATGTAATAGTGAAAGCAAATTGTGTCATAGTGCAATCGATCTATTGATACAAGCTTCTCAAGCTGAAGAAACAGCAATATAATCGTTAGGGTGTAGATGTAAGGGATTCATATTAACATTTCACTGTCAGCTCGAACTTTTGATTAACTACACATATTCAATTTGATTATCTACGCATATTCACTATCAACGATTTAACTACTTGACACAGCCCCAAACAATGAATTTCTCACCTGACCAAAAAAAATGAAACCCATGCTTACCTTATCTCTTGAAAAGTTAGAAAAAAGACCCCATTGGCTGTGGTCTGATGTTTCAAAGAAGTCACGCAAGAAACAGAAGGCCGCATAGGGTTTCAACCAATCCTGTGCCAATCAAATAGGAAAAACTTATTGTTTGAATTGCAGTTGAATTTTGAACTGGACAAATGCTGAATTCAGATGAATTTAAACCTGTAAATGTTTTGGATTTTGTTCGTGTTGGGGGGAGGGGGAGAGATGCTTTAGGAAGGAATTTTAGGGAACTAGTAGCACAAAATGTAGAATTATACTTTAAAAACTATGAATAACCTGATTGTCGGAAAAAAATTCTAGGAAGGAACTCAAATTTAGTATCAAATCCTTCTCTAGGGCAAAAATTTTATAAGCAATTGAGAGCTTTGCAGCCATGGTAGCCTCATAATCTACATCCTGCGAAGAATTGAACCTGAATAAATAAATGGTAGGAACAATGAAAAATAAATAAATTTATGCATTTCAATTATCATTATAACTGTACTTCTTGTCATTGATCAGTTCAGAAACTTATGTGTAGATATATGATCTTGGTTTTATATTTTTGAGACCCAAATACCTGTCTTTTAATCAATATCTGGTGTAAGGATTATGGACTAAACTCAATTCACAATAGAATTACAAATGAGTGTCTTTTATCAGAGGCGATCTCCTCTAGAGACCCATTATGATGCAGTCCAGGCGGCTAAGAATCAGCTGATCAGCAATCAAAGCACAAAATGGAATTAAAGAGATTGACATCTGCTACATTTTCAGCGATGATCAGAAAGATGAACAGAGAATGTTCAATCAGGGAGGAAGCATAAATCAACACCTCTAAACAGTGTATACAAATCAACCTGTCCAATCCGTATGCTTGATTGAAAGCAAGGATCAAAATTTGTCGTAACGGCTAAAACGTTCCCGTTTTCAAGGAGACCGAAACGAATTAATAATTGAATCAAAATTTCAATGCCTCAAGATATATTTTGGAATGGTTCAAGGTGTTTTAAGATGTTTCAAAATGTTTCCACCAATATTTAAAAATGTTTTGAGGTGTTTCAAGATGCTTAAGTATATTTTGACCAATGTTTCGGAATATTTTGAAATTTTATTTCCAAACTTTTTTATTCGCTTTCATTCTATTTCAAAAATGTTTGCAAAACATTTTTGAAATGTTTTTATTTCTCTGGTGACCAAAATAATGCATCGAAACGAAATTTTGATTCTTTATAGAAAGGAGAATCAGACCACCCACATGCACAAAGTGTTTAAGTTAATTAATTTCTCCAACAAAAGCCTGTTGGCAGTTAAAATCGATAGTCCTATGATGATTGTAAGTAGGGCTGATAAACGAGCCAAACTTGAACATTTTTTTAAGCTCGTTTATGTGTAAATTAAGCTCGATTACCACCCCTAATTGTAAGAGAAGCTATTTTCTGTGCTCTTATGAGGAAAGTGTAAAATGTTAGGTTATTTTAATTGAGGGCATTGTTGTAATCTTCACTTTATTATGAGTTAATATAAATGCAGGTGATGAGAGATGAGGCAGGTTAACTCTCACTCTCCTTAACCCTATTTGCTAATCGCTTCCTTCTCTTCTCTCTTCTCTCTTCTCTTGCCTCTTCTCCTCTCTAAACCTAGATTTTTAGATTTTAGCTTGTTATCAAAGCAATAAAATAAAAATTCAAGTTATAGGAATATTCAGGAAGGCGTTGGGAGGCTGTTGTGTTGGTGACATCATCGTCGGAATGATGACGTCACTGCTGGAATTTTCCAAAACCAACATGTCTGAATTGTTTTTTCCTACCAAGTATGATGATAATTTTTCTGAAATTTTTTTAAATCAACCGAGGTGTTTTTCGAATTTTGAATGATCTTCGAGTTTCTCAGGTCATATTTTGCAATCTGCAATTTGGCTGAGTTTCAAATTATTCCGACCACTGGCCACGGAACAATTCCAACCAACACCACCCATGCTATGAAAAAAATCAAGAGTATAAACTATAAATAGAATATAACATTGAGTTTTAGCAATCCTAAAAGCAAATAAAAACACATTTGTAAAGTTAGATCAATGACTTTCTGAGACGCAACTGAAGAATGTCAAGTATTTCATCTTTGAGCAACACATCTCAACACTGAAATATAAAATCGCAACGTAGTTGATTGTCCTTGTGAGTCACATGATACAAGAAAACACCGGTGAAGAACGACTAAATAAGATTATTATCAAACAAATAAAGATCACCAAATCAGTAGAAACTCTTAATTTATGCAGTTAAATTGTATTTCATATTTTATTAAGTGACTTTGTAGCCAAGGATCAAAATGTCGTGTCGACACGTTCAAAACGTTTCGGAATTTCAACACTCCGAAACGAAACAATAGTTGAATCACAATATTCCAGTGTTTCGGTCGAAACGGTATTGTTTCGGACCGTTTCGGTCTAAACGGCACTGTTTCGGACCGTTTCGATGAAACAGTGATATATTCGGTTCACTATGAATAATTATATTTATTATTTAATACCCCACTATAATTACATTTAATACCCACTGTAATTATATTTAATACCCACTATAATTATATTTAATACCCCACTATAATTACATTTAATTCCCACTGCTCTTCTGCCTTTTATAATTTTTTTGTTATAAGAAAAAATAATTACACTTAATACCCTACTGTAATTATATTTAATACTCATTGTAATTATATTTAATACCTACTGTAATTATATTTAATACCCCATTGCTGTGCAAGTATTTTGCTTCTTTTTTTTTTTGTTGTAAGTATTAACAATTACATTTAATACCCACTGCAATTACATTTAATTTTTAAGTATACATAAGTACCATTAATTTAATTTGATACCCTCCATTATTAGTATTATAATAAAATAGTATTATTAATTGGATAATATTACCGTAATAATATGAGTTGGAGTAACTATTGTCATCATATTTATGGCACATATGGAGTTTCTCTAAGTAGCTACCCAGAGCTTACACCGATATATGAGCCTGCTCGACACTCCACAGGGGGATGGATGTAGCCATGTAAGTATGTACTCATTAGCATTTTATGTGTATTATAAGACCTTAATATTATGTAAAAATGTGTTTATTTCATAAAAATTAAGTGTTTGAAACTAATTTAAGTGAATTTCGCCTCATGTCAAGCCTTTTTTTCCCTTAAATTTAAATTTATTCTTGTATAAATGGATGTTAACCCAATAAATATGTTGAATTAATCAATTATTTAGCTTATCTTTATAAATTAATGGATTGTATTTGTGTTTCTATGCGTTTCCATATTTTTTATGCGTTTACATTGCATTTCCGAAATGTTTCCGAAACGTTTCCATTTTTTAGCTGACCGAAACGGTACTTCGAAACGAAATTTCAATCCTTGTTTGTAGCAGCACAGAATGAAGCAATACAGATTTCTTGACTGGCTTGTGGAACAGAAATTTCAATGATTTGCAGGTTTCATCACTTTTGGGCTACAGGTTAGAGTTATTTCCAATTCTTTAAGTCCTTGCATATGCAGATGTCTCTCAGGAATCCCTCCAGGAAAGGTGACAAAAGGAGGATTGGCTCACTGCGAAAAAGCTTAAACCCAATTAAGAAGCTAAATCTTCACAGAACAAAATTCAAAAAATGGGGAGACGAGAAAAAATGTACAAGAAAGAGGAGCCGGTGGCGACAAGAGTGACAGTAATAGTAGATTGAAAGATTGGCAATGATGGTCAAGTTATAGGAGAAGGATTCAAAGGGGACAAAGAAATTTTACATTTTGGATGACTTTATCTGGTCAAGTGAACTTTACATGCAAATTCTATAAGATGTTTAAGCTGTTTCCTCATGAAGCTGTAAGTTGTAAAGAATTTGAGTAATACATCATAATCAAGAGTTCAAATCGAAATATTTGACAAATTACTAGACGTCTTTCATCGTGATTGAACATAGCTAAAACCAACAGAATACAATAACAGGAAGGTTACCTTTCCATCCAGTTGTACTCTGGCCCTCTCTATCTCTTGCTGCATAAAGCATTGGGGGGAGGGGGGATTCGAGTCATTTTAAACTAACAGAAATATAAAGTTCACTAGAGCAGAGAATCAAAACTTGGCATGTAGTCAGGTAAACACATTGTGATAAGTGTTTGAATACTAAGTGAAAAGATTATAATGACTACCTTGATCTCTTCTGGTATACTTTCAGAAAGTGCCTGCACTCTCAGATACAATGGATGCAATGCAAATACAGATAGAGAGCTGCATGAACAGAAACACAAAAAAGAAGAATATATGATGTAGCCACATAAAAGTATCTATAGCAAAATTTGAATCTCCATATACACTGTAAGTCCCTAAAAAACCCTAAGCCACTAAAAACATGTAAAATTATGAAGAAAAACAAATAAGATTAGTAACAAATCAAAACAAAAACATCATTAAGTGTGTGAACCACTAAGGGTATGTGCACAAGCACTAAGGTTATACTATTCAAATTGCACAACGTTCCAGAAAGGTGGGAAAAAATCAGGAAAAAAAAAAGTTTTGATAGTCGGCAACTTCACAGATGTATTTGAACGTATTTACTCTAATTTTAGCTGAAAGCCAAAGAGGCAAACAATTTGATACACAAGTTTGTCCATGTGTTCTGATGTTAAAACCATGAAGCTAAAACCATACCTGTATGGATATGAATCCCACCACATACCATGCACTGATGTGTCATTAACAGGCAAAAGCTGAACCAAATGGAAGCCAGACTCAACAGCCCAGTCGACAAGTAACTTCAGATCAAGAAATTCTCCAACTCCTATATCGGCCTCTGATCTAACAGAGAACATGGGAATCGCTAAGCCAGCACCTCGCCATGGCATTTCCTAACAAAATAAATATCACCACTATTCTTTTCAGTTCTGACTTCATTCTCAAGGACGAGTTTACCTAGAACAGATATCTATTCAACACCTTACTCGCATCATGCCATCTGAAACAATAATGCATTTTGGTTGACTACTTGAGAAGTCAACAAAGAGCTCCCGGTTGGGACCAGTTTCTAGAGAGAAGTTCCCTGCCTTGCCATATTTACTGTATTTGTACGTGAAAGAGCTGTTAAGGAAGATGGACACAGAGAGATACAAGAGCCAAATACCATTTAACAAACAATACTCATAATGCTGTATAATATGAAACAAAAGGCAACCAAAAGGATATTTAATAGGAAAATCATCCTTTTGCATGACACAATCTGCTTGCCACATTGATTCACCAGCATAATTGAGCTCAAGTCCATCCTGAACCTTCCATAGCCCCAGCTTCAAAGCATTGCCGATCACATAAATCTGCAGAAATTCATAAAAGCTTGAGTCTGACTTCGTAAATAAGATACTAATGAGATCATAAACAACCTAAATAAGCAACAAAGATAAATGAGTAACGTCCATCTGGGGAATTGAGATTTTACTGATGTTTCTTCTCCTACGTTTGGGCAGCAAACTTTGAATTGTACGATGACTGCATATGATTACAATCGTCATTTGCATTCAAAATATGCCCAAGGCAAGGTTCAAATTGAAGACTACAACAATGGACAAAACGCTAATTTAGAACTGAGAAAATTACCTTCCTGGTCCAACTTATTCTGAATGACAGCAAGGGGTCTCTCAATATCCAAGTGCAAACTTCTGCGAAAGATGACATTTTTGAATGCACTTCTGAAAGGGAGACCATCAGAACCGGTCTGTATTCAGATAATGACAGCACTTCAATTGTTTACGTCAAGAATTAAACTAATAACCTAAACAAAACTTGAAATATAATGAATTACAAATATCCAAGCCAGCAACCCCAGTCTAATTTATGGTTAACATCTATAATGCACAACCGTTGCCAAATATTGGATCAAATTTTTCATTAGTTATAGTATCCATTCTTTACTGTTAGGACAATAAATGAATCAATAAAGAGAAGTAAATAAAAAAACTATAACTGCATGAAAAATCATGAGATTTCCAGCCTTGCTCTGAGTAATTATCAAATAAAATTAAAAGACAAATCAATTGCAATACAAGTTCATCATTCTTCTTTCATTCCACTGACTCTAAGTTCCATCGTAGAGCAAGCCCATGGAATATTTCCTTTTCAGGCAACTTCTCCAGCTTTTAATGCTTCAAATGATTTGTCCAGTCTCCAGCGCTGGTAGAAGAAGTAATTTAACCCTGGAATACCTTCCATAATGGCATAGTTCGAATCCACTAATTCACCAACTCTGCCACTAAAAATCAATATGTCACTAAATCAGTGAGACAGTGTAGCAGTCTCAAAATGGAGGTTTTCCAACTTTAAGACTCTGTGGAAGGTATTTTAGGGCTGCTATGTTTGCATCCCCCAAATCAAGTCAAGACAAGCATATTTTATCTACCGCGCATGTGACCTGAAAATGAACAAGCTTAAAAGACAACTGAGCTGAAGCATATAGCTCAAACACCCAGCAAGACTAGCTTGAGCAAGTAATGACTTGACTTGGCTCAGCGTGGCTCATTTTCAACACTATCGGCATTCAGTCATGATCAAATTTTCGTTTTGATACTTTTTTTGGGTAATGTTTCGGACATAATGGATACGTAGAAAAAATTTGAATATTTGTTTCCGAAGCATTGGACGAAACGTACCAAAACATCTCGAATTACCTCAAAACATTTTGAAACACATCAAAATATAAGAATTTCGATATTCAATCGCTATTTCTAGTCACCATGAAAATGGAAATGCCTCGGTCGTTTCGACCATTTCGAAATAACTTTTGATCCTCGCCTATCAGATGATGACTACATTGGCAAGCAAGGATCAAAATTTTGTTTCGGTACAATGTTTCAGTCACCTAGGAAATAGAATCGTTTCGAAAAAACAAATAAAATATTTGAGAATTATTTCCAAAACATTTCATAACATTGGTCGAAATATACTGTAACATCTTGAAACAACTCGAAATATTCTAAAATAATTGTGGACACTGCCAAAATACCTTGAAACAGTAGAATTTTGATTCAATCATTAATTTATTTCACTCTCCTTAAAAAGAAAATGTTTTAGGCCATCTCGACCGTTTCGAAATGAAATTTTGA